TTGGTTTCTCTGTGTAGCTTTGTGCCTTTCCTGTAACTCTCTTTGGAGACCAGGCTGGCCTCAGACTCACAGAGATCCGCCTGCCTCTGCCTCCCGAGTGTTGGGATTAAAGGCGTGCGCCACCACCACCTGGTGAGCTGGGATTCTTCTTCTTCTTCTTCTATTTCTATTATTCTTAGGTTTGGTCTTTTCACTGTGTCCCAGATTTTCTAGATGTTTTGTGTTTCAAGTTTTTTGATTTAACATTTCCTTTGATTGATGAATCTATTTCTTCTATTGTATCTTCAATGTTTCACAAGTCAGTTGGCCCGGGGCCGAGATGGCTCTGATCTGAGCTAACTAAACCGTGTTTCTCTCACTGGCCTGATCTGAGCCATCCTTCCCTAGTTCTGGGCTCCAGGGTCAGGGTGCGTTTCTCCAGCCTGCCCCTCTTCCCTATAGCCTGCACGTGTGCCAGTGTACCCCGTGTGTGAAGTGGACAAGGAGACAGGAAGAGGGCATTGGATCCCCTGGGTTACAGATGTTGTGAGCTGCCATGTGGGCAGCACTAGCTTCAAGCCTGGGTCCTCAGGAAGAACAGTCAGTGCTCTTGCTGAACCATCTCTCTAGGCCCTGGGTGAACCTCTAGTACTGTAAAAGGAAAAAGTATGAGAATGGAGCTGGAGTTACAGGTGGTTGTGAGCTACCCAATGAAAGTGCTGGGAACTGAACCCAGCTCCTCAGGAACAGCAGCATGCTCCCACCCCTCCGGCCCTTGTTCATTTTCTTTTTTGTTTTGTTTCAAGGCAGGATTTTTCTGTGTAGCCCTGACTGTCCTAGAACTCTCTGTGTAGGCCAGTGTGGCCTCGAACTTGGAGATCCACCTGCCTCTGCCTCCCAAGTGCTGGGATTAAAGGCTTGTGCCACCATGCCCAGGTGTTTGTTTTTAATTAGTTTATTTCTAAAAATCTTTTGTATCTCTGTGAGTGATTGTTTCTATGCACACATTTAGGTCACTTGTGGAGACCATAAGAGAGCCTGGGAGCTGGAGTTAGAGGGATTTGTGAACCCTCCGGTGTGGCTACCGGGATCCTCATGATGGGGCA